GAGTGGTGCTTTCTGGGAATCCCAAACAGATGCTCTGCTACACTAAGGAACCAGCACTTCCAGAAGTGGTTACAGATGATGTTCTAACGAGTCATGAATTCTTTGCCTCCTCGGTTGCAATTCAGTTGATATAGCTGAGCTTAGCATGAAATTCACCCTGGATGTCACTATACATTCTCTTGTGATCCTTTAATAGTTTGTCATTTGGCCCGGCGTTGGTGCCCACGCCTTTAATCTCAGCACCTGGGAGGCAGAGGTAGGAGGATCTCTGTGAGTTTGAGGCCAGCCTGGTCTTCAGAGCGAGTACCAGGATAGGCTCCAAAGCTACACAGAGAAACCCTGTCTCGAAAAAAAAAAAATGGTTTGTCATTTTATTTTATTTACTTTGGTTTTTCGAGAGTTTCTCTGTGTATCCTTGGCTGTCTTGGAACTCACCGGTAGACTAGGCTGGCCTTGAACTCACAGAGATCCACCTGCATCTGCCTCCTGAGTGCTGGGATTAAAGGCATGCGCCACCACTACCCGGCCATAATTTTTATGATCAGGCAGTTTGGGTTATATTGAGCTAGGTGAAATAGCTCTATTTTGCCTATTAAAAATCAAGGTGAGGGACCGGGAGATGGCCCAGTGGTCAAGGCACTTGCTGCCCTGCAGGTGTAGAAACTAGAACCACCTCTCCTCCCTTCCTCCCACCCTCAGCAAACTGGCTAGCTAGACTAGAGGGAATTGGCAAGCTCTAGGTTCCAAAAGAGACTCTGTCTCAATAATAAAGTGGAGGGGCAGGAAGAATGGCTCAGCATGCTGGAGTACTTGCTGCTCTTCCAGGGGACCCAAATTTCTTTTGGCTCCACAAGCACCCACAAACATGACCTACACATACAAAACATACGGATGCACAGACTACATACAAAAAATCTTTTGGGGGCATGGGGGAAGGATTCTGGGTCTCTTTATGTAGCCTTGGCTGGCCTGGAACTCACTATGTAGATCAGGCTGACCTGGAACGCAACAGAAATCTGCCTAGTCTCCTGTGTGCTGGGATTAAAGGCATGTACCATCAAGCCCAGCTAAAAATAAATCTTGTTAAAAAAACTTTAAATAAAATGTGGAGCAAAACTGAGGAAGACACCAGCTGTCACCTTTAGTCATGAAATACATATACATTGCAAAATAAATATATGAATAAAAATTATAAAACCCCCATGGAGTGAAACTTTGAGGAGAATAAAGGCAGAGTCATGGAGATGTGTACCAGGTCTGACTTCCAGGCCCCACCTGTGAATTCTTTGATTCTTGGAGAAGTTAGGGGTTTTCATCTTGTTTGAAATAGTGCATTCATTTCTGTCCTCCCTGTTTTCATCTCTCTGCTCTGATGCCGGTGTTACCTCTGTCCGTTTGTTATCCCTGAATTCAGCTGGAGCTCTTTGTTTTTAGCAGTCTGGCTATTGCTGCTTTCTCAGTCAGTGGCAGTGAGCATCCATCTCTGACTGTAGGTAGGTGATTCCAGCTACGGCACGAGGGATCCCTTAGAACACTTGCTATGGGAAGGAGCCAAAGTGAACACTCCTAGTCTGTTACTGCCAACTTGTCATGCACATCCCAGCCTGTGAAACGAGAGGTAGAGGATTTTATAGGGTTTGTTTTATTTTATTTTCTTAACACTCCACAGAGCTCTCGGGAGGCTGGGAGGTCAGAATCTCTTGACCTCAGAGCTGCAGACCAGCTCCAGCAACAGGTAGAAAGCTTAAAAGGAATTGGACTGGTCTTCTTCCTTGGTTTTTCAACTAAAGTTATATGGCAAATCTTTATTATCACAAATAAGATAAAGGGTTACTACTGTAAAATTAAAAAATAATAAAATTAATGCATAATTTGGTAATTACATTTATTTTGTGTTTGTTTTTTTAGACAGGGTTTTACTATGTAGTCCAGGCTGGCTTGCTGAAGATCCTTCTGTCTCCCGAGTGCTGGGATCATGGGGTATACCACACACCTTACAAATTGTTCTTTGAAATACCTCAAATGAGTTTATATTAACTTATTTCCTTGATTAACTTATAGCCTTACTGTGTGCATATTGTACATCAAATGCAATACAGGGAGTGAAACTGTACCTTATAACCCTAACCAGGAACATAATGATACAGAGTTGGAACTTGTGTGGTCTTTTAAAAAGATGTAAAATTTTATTTATTTTTTATTTTTATTTTTATTTTTGGTGTGTGTGGGGGGGCGCACATTTGAAGATCAGTGGACAACCTTCAGAAGTTAACTCTCTCAGTCTACCATATGGGTCCAAAGAATCAAACTCAGGATGTTGGGCTTGGCATCCAGCACCCTTACCAGCTGAGCCTCCACCCTCACCCATCGCTCTTGCATGGTGTTTAAAGCAGGCAAATAAGCCCAATGAATTCCTAGTGTCTAACTAGGAATTGAAACCAGTTCCGTTGAAACCGGTGTTCAACTTATTCTCCCATCCAATGTGAAATTTACAGTCTGCTGTGTATCTGGGGTGTATTCCCCATGCAAAAAAAGATTATAACAGTAAAATGCTGTTTGAACATTTGAGGGATTCTCAGGATTGTCTTGACTTTAGATATATCAACTTTGATATAGCAAGAAGCCTGTTAGGGAACTTGTTATAGCTTCAGTTAAACGTAGGGAAGACTATTTTAAGAGGCAAGAAAGATGAAGAGGAACCAGAAAATGGAACTGAGAAAGAAGATCATAGAATTGAGTGAAAAATAATTTTTATAATATTTTTTATTTTTCAAAATTATAATGTGATTGTATAATCTCTTCTATTCCCTTTCCTCCCTCCAGTCATTACCACTTACCCCCTTTCTTTCAAATTCATGGCCTTTTTTTTCTTTAATTGTACTTTCTCTCTCTCCACACACACACACACACACCCTGTCCATTCCATATAAAGTTTCTTCTGTGTTTCAGGGCTGTCCACTTGGTATTAGATAATCAATTGCAAGGGGTAGGGAGAGCTCTCTTCCCTGGGGTAGACTTTCTTCTACTCCCACAACTCCCCAGTTCTAGTAGTTTTGTTTGTTTATTTGTTTGTTTGTTTGTTTTAGGGTTGAGTTCCTATGAACTTACACCCTTACAAGTTATCATTATCGTGTCCGTTGGCATCATGATTGTTTAGGCAACCTTGTTGATGAGAATTCAGGGATGTAGCTTCTCTGACATTTCTAGGGGACACAATCTCACAGCAAACTTCCTGGTCCCCTGATTCTTATGAACTTTCCACTCCCTCTTCTGAAATGATTTCTGAGCCTAAGGGGTTGTAGATGTTGTGGTGGGGATTGAGTACCACATAATCTCATGACCTTTTGTCCTCTTCGTTGTCATTGGTTATGGTTTTCTACAGGAGTCTCTGTTTTGTGGGGGGATTAGGAAAATATCCAGGAATGGTGGCACATACTTTTAGTGACAGTACTTGGAAGCAGAAGCAGTGGACCTCTGTTGGAGACCAGCCTATTGCACATAATGACTTCCTGGACAACCAAGGCTATGTGGCTGCTTAGAGAGACCCTGGCTCCATAAAAATAAATAAATGCATACATAAATCAGGAAAATATGGTATCTTAAAAGTCACATAAAGAGTATGTTTCCCAAAGTGATACTTGGCCCTGAGTATTTGTAAAGATCAATAGTGACTTCAGTGAGAACTGCTGTGGTACTGTGGGAGTTTTGTTGTAGAAAGATACAAGAAAGGGTTTAGAGGCTAGAGTGGCTTGTTTGGCTTGATTTAGTGTTTGGACTTTTGGGGGTTTTTAAGAGGGGGCTATGAGAAAGGGTCTTTCTATGTAGCCCAAGTTGGCCTTAAGCTCTTAATTCTCCTGCCTCAGCCTCCTAGATGCTGAGAACATAGGCATATCCACAAGTCCTAGCTGGTTTTGATTTTAAGTTGGGAATTATAGGAAATTTGAATCCTATTCTTGTGTATTCAGGCTGCTATAATAAAGTGACATAGACTGGGAGGCTAGAAACAACAAATGCTTTTCTCACAATTGTGGATAACAGAGACCTGAGGGCGAGATGGTAGTGAGGGTTGTAGGATCAGTGACTTATACCTTCTCGTGAAGTCTGAGGTTTGTGGGAGTCAAAGAAGAAGAAGCAAGCAGGAAAGAAAAGACTTGGCAGCTGGAGTGAGATGCTTGAAATGTGGTCCTGACAAATTCAAAGGTCTCAGGAGAGGCCGATGCAAGGTAGACACAGTAAAAACCCAGAGAACTGAGCAGAAGTAATGTGAGCTAGTGACAGTCACCAGCAGCTAAACTCTTGCAGGAACAAGCTGGTGACCTATGTAAAGGCCAGCACAGGACCATTAGGAGGGGTGATGGGTGGAACAGCCTGACCCCAAGAGGGAGAAGAGGAAGGAAATGAGTCAGAAGTAGCAAGGAGATAAAAAACTGGTAGTCAAGAGTCATGGTAGAGAGGTCTTCTCTTCCATAGGGAAGCCATGTTCTTTAGGGAAGCTAGCAACAGAGTAAAAATTTGGGGAAGGGGATGAGAATGAAGGTTTAGGGAGGGGTCCCAGGGTCCGGGCTCATTCAGGTAAGTGCTTGCTGTATAATGTATAAGCAAGAAGGCTCAGGTAAAAGCTGGGTGTAGTGGTACACTATTGTAATCCCAACACAAAAGAAACTTTGGGGAGGAATGTGTTGCAAAGGAATGGATCTCAGGAGGTGGGGAAAAGAAAGTAGGAGAGGACACAGCCAGGGATGCTGAGATCCTCATGGTGATGAGGATATGGGAGGAGGGGAGACCTAGGAATTGAGGGTTCTTCATCAGCAAATTAAGAGCAAAGTGAAGTTACTTGACTTGCTCTAGAGACAGATAGGTGACAAGACCTTAAAGGTGGAGGGGCAGTGGTTTCCCCTCTTTTCTTTCTGATGGGATTAATTTTCTTTCAAGTGACAGGATAAGTGCGCAGTGTCTTAGATGGCTTTCCAAATTGTGTTCTACTTATTTTTCATTTACAGATCCTTAGTAATTATCAGCACTTTAGATGGAAGAATTGCTGCACTGGATGCTGAGAATCATGGTAAAAAGCAGTGGGATTTGGACGTGGGATCTGGTTCCTTGGTTTCATCTAGCCTCAGCAAGCCAGAGGTAAGAAAACCCAAGTTGTGGTGAGAATGTGCCTTCTTGTGAGCCTTGAGCTTGGAGCCTTTGCCTGGGTCAGAGACATCAAGCAGTCACTTCACCTTTCTGTAAAATGGGGTGGATGATAGCACCTACTTCTTAGGATTGCTGCAGGCAGTAAATGTATTAATCATAAGTAACCAAAGAACTGTGTCTGCTATATCCATATAGCATAGTACCTGGTTGATCACGTGATCATCTTTTTGCATTGTAAGGTCCCCAAGGAGGAACAAAAATTGAGATTTCTTAGTTAGAAATCCATGCTGCTTCAGAACCCTATGCTTTGTTATTTTCTCCATTTTTTTCTTCAGTATTGTACATCCTAATTCTTTTTTGTAAGGTCCAAATGTATGTATTATTAGAGTGGAGGAGGTGGAGGAAAAGAGAGGACCCAGGCACACAGGCACACACATGCCATATTGTACATGTGGAGGTTGTAGGTCAACTTTGCGTAGTCAGTTCTCCTCCTACTATGGGTTCCAGTCACGTTTACCTACTGAACCATTTCACCAGCCCTAAATGTACTACTCCATCTAGTTTTATTAATTGCAGACAATTTGTACTTCCTAGTTCTGAGCTCTGGAATTTAGAAAGCAACAAACAGATTCAGACCATGCTTCTAGAACTGCTCTGGCTGCACTCCTTAGCAGGTCAGTTCCCCATCAGTGAGGAACTGCCCATTTCAGGGTGGTGCCATGGGGAGGATTAGAGAAGAGAAGCTTGTTTTCCAGTGTTTGATCTTGACTGTGGGTTGTCTCCTTACTCTGTTGTTTAAGCCATCTTAAGTAAGTCCGCCTTTAGAGCCAACAGGCTGGCATGCAGTCAGTTGCCTGTTGAGTACCCTCAGTCTCCTCCCATCTAGTTATTGCTAACTGTGGACACCCCCCAGATAGTCTTTTCTTTACAAAGCTTCCTAGCTGGTACGAAGTTGGAAGGAGACAAAAGCTAACACAAGAGCCTTAAGAATGACCTTACATTGGTGGAGCTTTGTGGTGGGAACACTGCTACCAACCTTTCTGTAACCACACCTCCCATGTCTTCCGGTAAACCCAGCCTGGATCATTTCTGCTGCGCTGAATTGGGGCCTTCAGTAAACAGTCTTGCAGAATCTCCACATTTCCTGTGTGATAAGCCAGGCTAGACTGAGTGAGCAGCGTTTATTATGCTTTTGTTTTTGTCATGAACTTCTGTTGTTAAGAATTACTAACACTAATAGCAAGTTGATTGTCTTTAAACTCAAGTCAAATTTTAAGAATGGTATCCAAATGTTAAAGGTGTTTATTTGTGCTCTTCTGTAATTTTCCTTGTTTTTAAACAAGCAAATGAGATTATAAACCACTTACATCTGAGATGGTTTCAGGTGTGTTGTAGTGATTAAGAGCATGTGTGTGTTTGCAAATTTGAAAATCCACACACAAAAATGGGTGAGCTGCATGGTGTGGCCAAGTAGAATGCAAACAGCTATACTAACCAGTCCTAACAGCTGTGAGCAAGAGTTGAGGTCATCTTCAGCCGCATAACAAGTGTAAGGTTTTCCTGGGCTGTGTAAGGCCCTGTCCTTCCACCCCACCACACACAAAGACACAAAAAGAAAGCTCAATAGATATTTTTCATGCAAGGAAAAAACCTCCATGACTCAGTAAGACAGCTCAGAGGTAAAGCTACTAATCTTCCAAGTCTGGCACCCTGAGTTTGAGCCCTGGGCCCACATGATGGAAGAGAAAAATGGACTTCCAAAAATTGTTCTCTGACTTCCACATGCACCCAATGGCTGTGCCCTGCACACACACAAATAAATCAGTAAGTATAATTCATTTTTAATTGTGTATATCCTAGTACTGAGGAGGCAGAGGCAGTTGGATCTCTTTGAGTTTAAGGTCAGCCTGGTCTACATAGTGAGCTACAGGCCAGCTAAGGCTACAAGTATAGTAAGACTCTGCCTCAAAAAAAAAAAAAAAAGGTTGGGCAAGATACTACTATAAAAAGGCCGTGACCTGCCAGTAGCACCTTTCCAAGAACGTCTGTAGCAATGTTTTATGAAGACCCTCGTCATCCTAGTGGCTGTTATTTCCTACTCTAAATACAGTGTTTAGTGGGTGGCTATCATGTAAGAGGAGGGCTAGTTGTAATGGGCAGGAAGAATTGGCAGGAACATATAGCATGTGGCCCCCCAGTGACAATAAATAGATGTGTGGCTCCTGAGCTGGACGCTTGATCTCTCTCAGCTTTCATATGTAGGTTTCAAACCTGCAGCAGGTTTAACTACCAGCTATTAAAGCTGCTCTGTGTAGCAGCTATTAAAGGTCCTCTTAGTTTACTAAGATAATGGGTAAAGGACTGGATAGACTGGTCATTTAAGCTTTTTTGTTTTGTTTTGTTTTGTTTTGTTTTTTGAGACAGGGTTTCTCCTGTGTAGATTTGGAGCCTATCCTGGCACTCGCTCTGGAGACTAGGCTGGCCTCGAACTCTCGAACTCACAGAGGTCCGCCCGCCTCTGCCTGTAACACCCCTTCAGTAAAACAATTCTACGAATCACGGAAAACAATCAGTTTTTCTCAAAGATTCTTTACTGTTGATCACAAAGATTCTTCAAGGTCAAAGTACTTCTAGAAAACAGCTGTTCAGCCTGGCTAAATTGAAGCGTTTTTAGACTTTGTGGTATTGTGGGGGTGGGACCAGAATATGAGACTTTTCGGAACTAGTTATGGAAGCCTCGCCAGTTTGCTATAAAGGGCCAGACATTGTTCTGCACACCTGTAATCTCTGAATTCCAAAGGCTGAGGCAGGGGAATAATGATTTCTAGACCAGCCTGGGTCATGCAGTGAGAACCTGTCTCAAAGGACACACACGAAGCTAGGCAGATGGTACATGCCTTTAACTGCAGTACTTGGGGCAGAGACTGGGTGCCTGGGGTGGGGGTGGGAGTGGGGTGATAAAAGAATTCAAGGTCATTCTTGGCTGTGTAGTGACTTGAAGGCCAACTTGGATTACATGAAACCTTGTCTCAAAAGTAAACAAAGACAAAAAAGAAGCTTGTATAAGCTGACAAGGTAAAGTGCTTGCTGTGTAAGTATGAGGACTTGAGTTGGGATCTCCCAGCACCCAGGTGATAGCTGGGTGTAATGATAAAATCTTATAATCCCAGTGGGGGGTGGGAGGAGTGAAGACTGGAGGGCCCCAAGACTTTCTGGTCAGCAGAACTGTCTCAAACAGGAGGTATACAGTGATTGAAGAAGATACTCAAGGTTGACCTGGCCTCCACATCCACATGCACACAGGTACATACCCCCCCCAAACACCCCAAATGCATACATGCACATAACCCATATGTACACACACTATTTTTTTGTTAAAAGTACAAATTCATTACATATTATCACACTAGGTTCAGATTTCATTGCATCCTAGCTTGATCTGATGCCATGAACTCTCGGTTCCAATAGGGTGTATAAACTAGTATATTATTTTGTTGTTTAGTGTGTTTTATTTTGTAGTATGTTGCTTTATTTGTGTTATGTCAGTGAAATTCCTAATATGTAATGGAGAGTGATAGCTCCATTAGGAACAAATATTTTGTGTTATATTTAGAATTGCCTGTGGAAGGAAGGCTGAGGTGTCTTAAGACACACATCTCATTTGCCACTCCTTCCTGTTTACAAAGCACCTACAAAAAAACTTCCTCAAAAGAATGTTGATACGAAACCAACCTACAACTGTGCCTCCAAGTGTGTATTAGGATTTGGTCTGTGAGCTTTAACAGATTGTGTTCACTAGGTAATGAACCCACTGTTTTTTGGGCAGCCAGTAGCTAAGCCTTGTGTTTTAAATGCTCACAAGGATCTCCTGATGTGAAATCTGATTTGCTTTTCCTCTAGTAATTTAAATATAGGCTCAATTTTGGAAAAGTGTGGAGATTTGGCTACGGTTCCTCACTGATTGTCTTGACATTTTATTTTAATAAATAACCATTTGTTCTGTAGTGGGGTTTTGTTTGTTTTGTTTTCTTTTGAGGTCTCTGGACACCTTTGGGCTGCACTTAAATCTGAATAGGCTAGAACTGTCAAGGTGGCTTAGTAGGAAAGGGACTTGCTGCTCTTCCTGAGGACCTGTGTTTGGTCCAAACGCATATGGTGAAGAGAAAACTCAAGTTGTCCTGACCTCCACCACCCTCATGCCATGGCATGTGTATGCACACACAGACACACAGACACATTAAATGAATGTAAGTAAAAAACCAAAATCTCAGTTGATGGGTTGAGCATGGAGGCACACACTTGTCTTCAATCACAGCACTCAGGAAACAGCAAGAAATCCATGAGTTCAAAGCTAGCCTGGTCTACACAGTAAGTTCCAGGCCAGCCAAGCCTACAAAGTGAAGACCCTATCTCAATCAATCAATCAACCAACCAAATAAATAAATTTCAATAGACTAAGTGTTTTTGTGCTCTTATATCTGTGTCTTGGGGCACTTTCATTAATACACAGGCAACCCTTATTTTTATTTAGGATGCCTTTATGAAGAACATTCCAAGTGTGTATATGTGTGTAACTAACTTGAACTTAGCTTCTTTTATCTTTTTATTACTTAGACTTTAGACATATTGTTTTCTGGTTTTGCACTGTGCTCCCTTTTCCTCCTCAAAAGGGCAAACAACTCTATTGTTAGTCTATACTTAGAACTCAGAGTTTTAGTTTATCTTAGGTATGGTTTTCCCCAGGAGACGAGCCTTTCTGTTTCAAACAGGTGCATAAACCAACAGGGGCATAAACAGACAGGGTGTAAACAGTCAGCAATGACACGGTGCTCTTGGGGAAGAGAGAGTGTTTCACCAGCTTGCCTTCACCCTTACTGGCACAGGGCTTCCTGCCTCTGCCATTACAGTACTGGGATTCCAGGCATGCACCACCACACTGGTTTGGTGGGATACCTTTGAAAAGATATAGCTAGAGCCACACACCTACCGAG